TGGCATGTGGTGCTGGGGGATTGAACCGCGGTCCCTGATGCCTTGCCAAGCTTGTTCCAAGTAGGTGCTTTAGACCACTGAGCCATCTCTCCAGCCCCAAAGTTTTGATGTTTTGACCCAGGCTGGCAATACTGTTTTTATCTAAACATGGAAACAATGCATTTCTTCAAGGATGGAATGATTTTGACATGACATGGGGATTTTATAGCTGGTATCCTAGAAGAACATGTGGTATTAAATAAAATATTCATGAAACAACATTGTTAAAATGATATATCTTCCTTGGCATCATTTGAGCCTTTTATTTTTCTGAACTTTTCATTTATGATTCAACCCATTCTCTCTCTCTCTCTCTCTTTTTTTTTTTTTCTGTACTAACTGATCTGTGTTTGTTGTTACAATTTTGGGAATTTAAACATTAGAAACTGGTAACAGGAGTAGGATGGTTTCCAGGCAGCCAAATTCCCACAAAGGTCCACCACAGAGCCATAAAGAACAGATTGCAGAAATAGTGTTTAAAGAGAAAAGAACTTAAGTGCTTGCTTAGGTAAGTGCAGAGGCCAGGGTTTGATCCCTGGCTCCGCATGCTGCACTGGCCCCACCCCCGGGTGCGCTGAGCCTGTGATGGAGTCAGGGCGTGGTGGCGTGCACCTGTAACCCCAGCTCTAGGGAGGCAGAAATCAGGAGGATCACTACAAGTCTGGGCTGTGTAGTGAGACCCTGAACACACTCACACACAAAAAAAATCCTAAAAAAAAAAAGGAACGTAAGCATCATCTGACCCAGCCATGGGTAAATAAATAAATCTCCAAGAAATTAAGTGACTAACTATACTTTCAATAATGAGAATGAGACTGCATAGGATGGGCTGTAGGAACTCTGTACCACCATTTACAGGAAAAGTAGTTTTCAGGAATATTCAAGGTCAGCACAATCTGTCATGAGGCTGAACTGACAGGAATTGATCCCGGTGGGGGTGCAGCTGAATCATTTCATTTATACATTCATTAAACATTTCTTGAGCATTAAAAATGTTAGTCATTGAAGCTTTGAAGTATAGAGCAGAGAATGAAAGATCAGCAAAGATTGTACCCTTAAGGAACTATGTGTATACTGGGAAAGGCAGTCAATAAACTTAGAGTTGTATATACATAAATGCCATTTCTGCCAGGAGATGGCTCAGTAGAATAAGCGCTTCCCTGGCAAGCGCAAGGGTCTGAGTTTAATCCCCAGTTCCACCAAAATAAATAAATAATTAATAAATAAATAAAAATGCCATTTCTGTTTCAATAGTGTGAAAGAAGGTGCAGAGAGACATGCACAAATGGGTATGAGGAAGACATTTTCCTGCCCTCACACAGTAGACTGAGGCGGCCACAAGGAAATGAATGGCATTTGCATTGAGGCCTAACAGAGTAGACATTTGTTAAGAAAGTGTGTGGTCAGGTGAAAGACTCCAGAGCTGTGCAAAGCTCCTGTGGTGGGAAAGCTTCATTTCATCAGGGAGGAACAAAGAGAAGAGAAACCAGCATATTTGGAGATCAGTGAATTGCAGCAGGGGAAAGGGGCAGAGAGTAATTCAAGATGTGGCCAGGGAGGTGGAGAGGAGAGGTTACTGCGAGATTTCTCAGACATCTAGAAATGAATCTGGCCAGGGGTGGGGGTGCATGCCTGTAATCCCAGCACTCAGGAGGCTGAGGCAGTAAGATCACTGTGAATTTGAGAGCAGCCCGGCCTACACAGTGAGTTCAAGGCCAGTCTGATCACATAGTAAGGACTGATCTCAAAAAAAAAAAAAAAAAAAAGAAAAAGAAAAAAGAAGAAAAGAAAATGAAAAAGAGAAAAGAAAAAAAAAGAGAAAGGTCAAAGAAAGAACATATTCTAAAAGGTCTCATCCCTACCTCCTTCATAAGTATCTCTAGAAACAGGCTACTTCCCATATTTCAAAATACTGAATCTTGGGGGCTGGGGAGATGGCTCAGTAGAATAAGCGCTTGCCTGGCAAGTGTAGGGTCCTGAGTTCAATCCCTAGTACTGAAAAAAAAAAAAAAAAAAAAAACACAACAACCCTGAATCTTATAAAATATATTCAAGGGCCAGCCAAATAACTCAGCAGATTAAAGCACCTGCTTAGGCAGACACAGGGGCCAGGAGTTCGATCCCCTGGCCCGCCCTGCCAGCCTTGCCTCCAGGGCAGGCTGAGATGGCAATTGAGACTGGGCGGTGATTGAGACTGGGAATGGTGGCCTGTGCCTGTAATCTCAGCACTTGGGAGGCTGTAAACAGCAGGATCACTGTGAGTCAGATCTACTCGGTGAGACCCTGTACACCCTGTCCTAAACACACACACACACACACACACACACACGCACACACACACACACACACAATTCTATCATGCAATAGATATTAAGGACTGTATACATGTGACATTCTCCTAAATTCTTCGAACTAAACTTTTATTTTTAATTTCTTAATTATTTTACCATACTACAGAACTAAATGGGTTTTAAAGAATATTATTCCAACCTCAAGCACGTGGGAGAAAGAGATTTCCTGCTGTTCTGGAGGTTACCAGCCATGGCAGAATCAGCATTTGTGGGCTGTCACTGGTGCAAGCCAGTAGGTTTTATTGTATTGCAATACAATAAAATAATACAGCATAGCAGACAGGTTCCTGAGTTAGAAACACAGGCATGCAACCCCTGACCACATGCAGCTCTGGATAGCCAGCTAGTAGCACAGCCCCACACCAGAAACTTTTAACATCATCATGTGGTAATGAGTGTTTTGTCTTTTTCATGACTCACTTGTACAATACCCGAGCACGGGCCATGGAGAGGACAACAGAGTGCTGTGTAAGGGGAGGGTGCAGGGCGCTGCTAACTTGACTTTCTGAGGCCACCCACACAGTTTAACCCAAATCCTTGTGTATCAGACAAAAGTGTGGGTGGTGAGCTGAGGACAGCGATCACTGGTACCAGCATTTCAGCCTCCCTCTGTGAGAGTGTGCCTGTGGTGAACAGCATTTGTTGTATGAGCAGCCATGTATGTTTTCTTTTCTAATTATTAAACTTGAACTTGTATTTTTTAAATGCTACAATAAAAATGAAATATTCATAGACATTAACTAAGTTATATATTTTATAAGTGACCCAAGACTCAAGACAATTCTTCATCCAGTGCAGCCCGAGTAAGCCGACAGGTTGGACACTAGTGGGTGGATTGAGTGTTTACCACGTGTCAAGCACTTCATGTTATCACTTTATTTGTCATATCTGTCTACGAAAAGGGTCATCACCAGCCTTACTCCAGCAGTGCAGAGAGGTCTGGCAAGATAGCCTGGCTCAGTGCTGCTAGTACAACTAGGATTTACGTTCCATTTTGTCTAAACGGATGCAGTACCTTCCTACACTTCCCTAATAATCTGATGTGGGTTCAGTTATTCCAGAAATCTATTTTCAAATACCTTTGCATTTAAAATTTTTGCCTTAAAATAGTATAGGGAGGAAACACAGTAGACACATTGAACAACCTGTTCAGATTTTTAAAATCTAATAATAAAATTTTATTTTTTCTAAATGTACACCTGGCTGAACCTATTCATGCGTCTTCAACAGCGCCAGGGGCATCTCCACCTTCGGTGTTTGTGGTATAAATAACTTGAGCTCTGTGCTTTGAGACCAGCTTGATACGTCCTTTACTAAGGAGCTCCTGAACTGCTGCTCCGAGACACTGAAGAGCCCATGGATCCCGTGGAACCTTCAGTCTCTCAGAGACACAGCAGGCATTACAAGTTTACAGTTGGGATCTTCCTTACGGAGTTTATTGGAGTTTGTCATAAGTAGCTTTATCAAACAGGACCAGGTTGTTGAGCTTGTCCCAACCTTTGCCTTTGAACCACTTCCTTTTTTTGACCTTGCCCCCAGATTGGTTCACTAGGTTTTTGTCTTTCTTGGCCGATTTTCTGACATCTTTCTTCTTCTTGTTGTCGTCTTTGGGTAGTACCACGGAGCCCAGGGAGCAGCGGCTACCACTGTAGGTTTGTCAAGATGTCAGATCAACTTGCTCAGATTTAAAGAAGAAAGCAGGGCAGAGATGATGAAACTTTTAGAGCTCTCCATAGCCCACTGCAGCATGTGCATCACAGGTTTGCAGTAACTGGACTGGGAGTTTCAATGGAAAATGTATATATCAGCTCAAAACTTGGCACAGTTTAGTTGGTTTTGCTATGTGTATTAATTATAAGCCAGGTATAATTTTGCTACATAAAATGCACTAATAGGGAGAATGAATTTCTACATTCTCCAAACTGTGTTCATGTTTTTCTCAAATACAAAACACTACTACAGCCAAATAATGTAAAATTTAAAGCATAGTGATTTTCATAAACAAAGCAAAACTTTAATATTTTTTTAAAAATAGATTAAGCTACTTACTAAATATTTACTCAATGGGCAGGCTTAAATATTGCTTTTTCACATTATAAATGTTTAAACTTGAAATCGTACAAAGAAAAAGATACACAATTCCAAAATAATACCAAAAGACACATATTTAAAGCTTTTAATTTAAAAAAGACAACAGGTAAAACAGGGAGTGACATTTAAAATGACAATGCAATAATTAAATCATACTTGAATTTCATTGTAATAATTCTTATTCTTTGGAGTATTTTTTTATGCTCATTTCTTTGCAAACAAAAATCACAAAAATAAAGTTTTCCAACATAAAAAATTCAGTAAGTGTCTCCTAGGGAGCTCTAAACATTGGGTGTGCTTTTTCAGTGACAACACAAACATGTAAACCTGATAAAGCAGACCCCACCCGATCCTCACACGTTCACGCATATGCTGATTCAAATACAAGTGCTTTAGTTTGAAGATTCAAGAGAATTTTTCCAGTTCTGACCTGCAAAAAACAAAAACTAGGACAAAACTCTCTGACAAAACTCTAGCAAAGAATGCTCCAGCTTTAAAGAGCAGCACAGTTGTGAAATGATTTGACTTAAAATTTGTCTATACTTCAGTTCACAGGTATGACAAATATTGGCTCCTCTTGCTGTTGTGTTTTCTTTCTTCAGTGATAAATAAAAATCTTACAGAATTTTAGTGTTGAAAAAGTAAAGAAAAAGAAAAAAGGCATGAGGCATGTATGTGAGCGCTATGTTGATTCTTTTTGTTTTGTTTTTTGTACCGAGGATTGAACTCTGGACCTTGTGCTCACCAGGCAGGCGCTTATCTGAGCTACCTCCCCAGCCCTATGTTGATTCTTTTTCAAACCTCTAAAATACTCATCATGAAAGATTTGATCTAAATAATGGAATTTAGAGGGGCCGAGGAGATGGCTCAGTAGAATAAATTCTTGCCTGGAAGCGCAAGGGCCTGAGTTCAATCCCCGGTTCCGCAAAAAAACAAAAACAAAAACAACTTAGATCTGGCTCCCCAAGGATTCTCCATGTTCTGTCACTCTGTCACTGGAACTTGCATTGTAGACAGAAAGGGAAGGGTAAAAATGAAAGAGAAATATGAAAAAATAGAAGAAAAATAGACAAACATAATAAATGTTACCTGGCATTCTAATAAAAAGGAGATAAGGATATGTATTCCCAGAAAACTCAACATTTTTCCGAATTCAATATATTGATGAGTTTGGTCCTGACGTTATGTTTTCATTGGTTTACCAAACACATAGCCTTTATCTTTTATGTATAAATACCAGGCAATATTTAAACATAGACCTAAATTTGAATGAATGCTGTCCTGCTTGCAGGGTGGGTCAGAATGATCGTTCAGTTACTAGGTCATTATTTTGTGACCAATCACTATAAATTATAATATGAATAGCTTGTTGTCATTTGGCTTGTTTATTCTTGCTTATGAATGCTATAGTCATGATAGAAGAAAACAGTAACTTCCCTAAATCCAAATAAATGTTCAATACTAAATTCAGCAAAATCACAACAGTTTGCAATAGAAACAGATTTCATATAAATAGTAATATAGCAGTATGCCCCAAATGCTAAATTGTCATTCAAAATAATTTTGTACACACTTTATTTTTAAATGTTAGGATTTTCAATGGAAGTTTCATAATTTCCCAGATTAGTATAAGAGAAAAACCCAATAAGAAAAATATCAGCACTCATAGTGATTCTACTACTGGAATTTTCAATCCCCATGCACACAAAATTATAGTCACATTTTGCTATTAGAAACTGTTCTTGTATTCTCCAATGGAACTCCATAGCTGTATGCAGGAAATAGACTTTTAGAAGAAATGAAAATGAGAGGGGAGAGAGGGGGGGGAGAGAGAGAGAGAGAGAGAGAGAGAGAGAGAGAGAGAGACCGAGAGCATAGGGGAGGCAGGCGGGAGAGTAAAGGAGGGAAAGAGAAGGGGCAGGACAGTAGGACCGGAAGAACCGGCTCTTACATGGATTCAATGCAGAATATGGGGCTGTAATATAGCCAACCTCTGGCAAACTTCAGACCACAAAACGCACGTTTTAAAAGTTAGTTGAATTAAAATTTGTATCACCCATGTTTCAAAGGTGGATGCCTTTTAAAGGTGTTTGCCAGAGGTACCCAGTGCAGAGAAAAATAATGATTCATGTGGAAAATAATTAGCACTTCCAGGTAAAAGGAATTAGTAAAGGAAATTTTCCACCAAACTCAAAGTTTCAGGACACAGCAGAGGAATTCCACAGTGGAAAATCACACCAGGTTCTAAAGTATCACATACTCATGATTTATCATTCTAGAATGTTCTAGAATTCTATCACTGATGTTTGTTGGCAACATTGCCTGTATATTCAGTTTAGTAACCCTGGATCTCATTAGCAACAACAACAATTAAAAAAAAAAAAGGGAATTATTATTGAAGCCTTTAAATCAGATTCCAAATCTTTGGATTCACCAAAGGATGAAAGGAGCTTCTTCAGGCGAGAGAGACAACAATAAATATGAGTGAGATCTGTGGGTTTACCGAACATTATCAACAGGTAGAAAGAAAACCATGTTCACATCCTGGCTCATTCACTAAAACCCTATTTGTGACTATGTAAGGCACATTTTCTTGCAACAAAAGGCGAAAATTGTTCTATATCCTCTGTGCCCATACCATGGACACAGGTCTGGCACAAAAGATATAATGAATGATGTCACTGCTGACAGTAAAATGAGCAAACAAAATATAAAACAGCCAAAACACGTGTTGCACATCATAATGATAATTTCATTAACCAAAATAAGAAAGATAAGAATATGCAACATATTAATTATTGTAACTGTCCTACTAACCTGTTTTGAAACTGTCTCATTGCTTCTTTCTCAATATAATTATTAAAAATAAAGAAATAACCAAACACAGGCCACTCAGTTGACAAAAAGAAAAGTATGGGTTATTACCCTAATATTCTAGATTTAAATTTGTGACAACCATAATTGTGCTGCATACTAAACATGACTGATATTTATGCATTTCTTTGTAGTGCTGAGATTTTCATATACTGTACTTTTTTCAGGAAAGACATTTTCTTTAATATAGAACCTATGATAGTCTATTTTGTTCTGATATATAGGATACCATATTTACATTAACAAAATTATACTTTTTATTTTATACTTTTAAACTGCTTTTAATATATGATGAAACATATTCAATACTTGTATTTCCAAAAAAGTTCCTGTAAAATAAGATGTATCTTACACAGACCTTTATAAAAAAGCAATTAAATTCCTCTAATTCCAGTACTCAGCAGGCTGAGGCAGGAGGATTACTACAAGCTTGAGGCCAACCTGGGCTACATAGTGAGTTCAAGGCCAGCCTGAACTACATGGCAAGATCCTGTTTCAAAAACCAAAGAAAGAGAAAGGAAAGGAGTGAGGGAGGGAAGGAAGGAGGAAAAGAAATTAAGGAAGGAAGGAAGGAAGGAAAGGAAGGAAGGAAGGAAAATAAATAAAAAGACAATGAGAGTGTGTTCAATTCTTCGTGTTACAGTTTCCTTATTTACCTAATGGAGCTAACACAGACCCTAAGTTCACTACACTGTTGGAAACATCAAAGAGGTCATTTAGACAAAAGTAATTTACAATAAATACAGCATGCAAAATGCCCTTATGCTGATACCAGCCTTCTGAGCAAACAGTGATTAAGTCAGCTCCCTTCGGGAACAAAATATAGAACTTTCTCTACTGTCGCTAGGTGCTAAGACCTGGAAGGTTTCTTGGTTAACAGCTCTTAAAGCAAAGAGACCTTCCTAAGACTGGTAAGAACTTGAATCTTCTCATCAGTCCAATTAGCTGACTATTTACTCGTTTGAACACATTAAATCTGAAGCTGGCCTTTAGATTTTTAGCTACTGCCCAGAAGCTCAAAGAGAAATGAGTGCTCACTCCGGCAGCACATGTAATTAAAGACAAGGAAGTGGTCCCACGTAGCAAGGACTGAAAGGACCAAGTGCTTTTGTGGGAGGACAAACATAAAATCACATCTCTGTGCTGAAGAAATTTCTTGGGCTTGATGAAATTGTTGAAATTTCCTTTTAGATGTTATCGTTGCATAGAAATCTCTTCTGGTTTTGTCCTAAACAATTTTCTTGAGATACGCCCTCACATGCATGCTTTATCTTTCAACACTGTCCAGTAGCTGAAATCTGAATGCTTGTTCCAGATGTACTGTAGGTAAGATACTGTAAATGTAAAAATCTTGTTGAACTTTTTAATCTCCTACATAAGAAAAATCTCAGGCCAGGGATTTCACTCAGTGGCACAAGAACCTGTCCAGCAAGTGCAAAGTGCTAAGTTTGATCCCCCTCAAAAAAAAAAAAAGGAAAAAAAATCTCAGTGTTGGGGCCTATATTTACTGAGACTATCTGTTTATGATACGTGTTATAGTAGGAGATATAGAAGTATGAAAACAGGAAGGTGGAGAGTGGCAGGAAATACAATAAAATGTTAATAATCTTTTTCACAGGCTGGTAGAATTATGACTGACCTAATCGCGATTTTGGGTCCTGACCTATACGTGTTGATTTTACAACAGATGTGGGAGGAAGCCAATTACATAGAAAGTCTCGGATGCTAGTTAAATATAACACTGTGGATACCAGTGAAATGGACCAAACACTGAACAGAAACAGGTCACCAGGCTCTCAAAACTTCCTTTTCACTGTGAGCTTATTCTGCTGGAGCAATGTTAAACGCATAATAATAGTTACTTTAACTTTTTTTTTTTCAAAACAGGGATAAGTAAGATTTTAGAGAAAAATGAGGGAAAAACATATTCTCTTTTAGAGACAACTAATTTAGCAGAATTTAACAAGGCTTTTAAAACTCAATAGTCATGGAACACCATTGGATAGTCACACAAAAATATCCAGGCTGCATAAAGATTAATGTTTCCTTGGTCACAAGATGGCTAACTGGCTTGCGACAAGACAGTATATTTAGTGCATGTAGTTGGGGCCAACATGGATGATGACGTGTCTCTCATAGGCCCTTCTCATTGTTTTCTCAATTTGCTTCAGGAAAACCTGTGGGATTCGTCCACAAAGAGTGTGTACAGTTTCCAAAAACTTCAGCTGGAGAGGGTAATACATGGATTGAAAGAGATTGTCTTGAAAGGGAAACTGTATGGTGATTTAAAAAAAAAAAAAAAAGGAGAGAAAGAAAAAAGTTTATTGTACTCATTGAAATGCCATTTAAAACATAAATCACTTTTATTAACAAAGAATGCGGGTGCTGGCTTCAGGCACGTAGACGCACGTTGGCATGAGTTAATGAAAGGATTTCCAAAGACCTAACTTCAAATCTTTTTCTGGCTAGGCAGCCCCACACAATCATTTAACTTCTCTGGACCTCAATTTCTTTACCTCTTAAAAAAAAAAAAAAAAAAAAAAGATGATGCATTTGAGTTCTTAAGACCCAAAAATAATGCATATCTCTACAGCCGAGACAGTCTATACAGAGCATATTCATTCTGAGCAGAAGCAAAACTCAGGTAGACACTTGACAATACTACCACAAAACACTAAATTCTTGTGCTTAAAATTTTTTACTTGCAGTAGTGGGGATGAAGTCTAGAATCCCAGGAGCAGGCAAATCACTTCTTCGTATTTTTTCCACTGAAGCAATCTTCATGAAGATCTGCTAGTGTACATTTATGATAATCTCATTTAGTCCAGAGGTTAGCGATTGCTAGTGAAATTTATTGGCAATGAATTTTATTTTAGTAATTCTGGTGCCAATTTTTGTTTTGTTTTATTTTGAGATGGGTCTTGTTGTACAGTCCAGGCTGGCCTCAAACTCACAATGACCCTCCTGCAACAGCTTCCTGAGTGCTAGGATTATAGGTGTGCACTAACAAGCCTAGCCTGGAGCCAAATATTGCTGCCCTCTGCTCCCTGTAACATCAAATATTTGCAGTGATTTTTGTTTTAATTATCTTGTTTCTTATGGGATATGTTTATTAGGCATATTTTCCAAAAGAAATTCTTTGGACTATTTAGTCATGAGCACATGTCAAAATTTATCACATTTTGGAGAAAGGCCACTAGTACACCATCAAGTCAAAGGTTTATTCTTGGCAAAGGCATTTTGCAAGGAAAGTCCAGAGAGGAAAAAGACAAAACAATAGTGAAAAAGCAGGACACTATAGGCTGACATTAGAAGGTGTAAGTATCTGATTTCCTAGGTAATTTTTTAAGGCCTTAAAAGTCATTAATTGCTTCTGGATGCTTAACAGAAATGCAAAATTCTTCCCACAGAAGATTATGTCTGATGCAAGAAAGTTCTGTCCCAGACCAAGACTGGGGCACTTTTTCTACCCTAGCATAATATACAATTGATAACCCTACCTCCATTCCACCCAAGCCAGGCTCAAATCCATCCTTTTCACAACTGTGTCCCCAATAACTAGAGCATAATGGGTGGAAACTATGGTGTCAACCTCTTTCCTTCCCACCTCCAGTTGGGAGCAAGCCCTGGAAGCTCTGGAGACACCTAACCAGAACTTGCCTCTCTTGCCTCTTAGCCCATAACTCACCAGCATGGCTGCAATCAGTCTAGGAAATTGCCTCTGAGCTTCCCTCCGCACCCCTTCTTCCAAGTTAGAAAGGGAATTATTTTAAGCATAAATCAGAGTCTGTCACTTCCTCCAGGGACTTCCCATGAGCCTAACTTTTCCCTAGTTTTGAATGCTCAGACAGTCTGGAAGCCTCCCCTCAGGGCTCTTCTGTCTTTACCCAGCCAGCCATTCCAGTCATGGTGGTCTCCACACTGTCCTTGAGACACAACAGATTCATTCCTCCTTAAGAACTTTTCCCTAGTTATTTATTCTGCTTCCAAGACCTTCCCTGGGTTTCTTCAATGACTGCCTCCATCTGACTAAGTGCTAGGTCTGCAGAGGCCTTTCCCGACAGCCCTCCCTACAGGAGCATGAACAAAAGAGGCCAGCCCACTGCTCTAGATCCACCCTCCTGCTCTTCTTACTCTTGAACACTTTTCACTGTCCAGTAGGATTTTCATTTTGTTTTGTTTATGAGTATCATGTGCCTTCTCCCCACCAACATATACTTGCACATCTCATTTAGAGAAAATGAAATAACTGGGATTTGAAACTGAGGCCTATCCAGCCCCACAGCCAGCTTCTGATGGTTATACCACAGGTCACAGAACTGTGAAGGGGGCGGGGGCACACAACATTTTGTGATGAATTTTTTAGTATTCAGTCACATTTCAGTTTGGGAATAGTGATTTTCCTGATGGAAATGCCTGAATGAAAAATGTCTTTTTAGGCCCAACTGAGGAACACAGTGGTTAGGCAGAATCATGTAAAAAAACAAAGTAATTTGATCCTCCTTCTTATCCCCAAGAAAACAAACAAGATGAATTGTAACTCAAGAATCCCAGTTGCTCAATTCCAAACTAGGGCTGACACATCACAAGAGAAACTAGGGTGCTCTCTGACACACACACAGCTGCGTGCCTTCCCCTTGTACGCCTGAATGGATTTCCTCTACAGTCAGTGTTTTAATATCTGAATGTGAGAATATTGCCGCGTGTAGAACAAAGTTTCTATGCAATTTAATCATCGGACCCTTGAAAACCAAACAGTAGGAAATACAAGAGGAGAAGGAACTGCTAGCTTACATGTGAGCTGTGCCCTCTACCTGCACAGAAGACAGTTCGGGGATTTCCAGAGCTGGAATTCCCTGGGACTCTCCCTAGCCAATGTTCACAAAAATGTGTTAGCATACCTCGGCATTCATTCCTGCCAAAGGCTGCCTATGAAACTCTGCGGAGTCCTAGATCTTTAAGAAAAAAAAGTCTCTAATGAAGCCCATACTTTTTGTTAGGGTTTGGCAAACGTTTTCTATAAAAGGAGGCAGTCTAAGCACAGTATTTCAGATTCTGTGAGCCCCACAGTCACTATCATCATCATCTCTGCTATCACTGAACCAAAGCAGCCAGAAACAACACACGAATAAATGCATTTCACTGGGTCCTAATAAGACTTCATGAATGCCAAAATTTGAATTTTGTTTTCTCATGTTATAAAATATTATTCCTCTTATTTTTTTTTTCCTATTTAAAAATGTGAAGGGGGGGCTGGTGAGATGGCTCAGTGGTCTAAAGCACCTACTTAGAACAAGCTTAGCAAAGCACAGGGACCACGGTTCAATCCCCCAGCTCCATATGCCAGCCAGCCCGCCCCCTGGT